ACTGATTATCATTACTAACACATTCAAAATTTTAGAATTATTATTTTTTGATGATATTTACTGCTGCAACAAATTTAAAATTACGCAAAAACAATGAGCAAACATTAAACGAGGCTGCTAGTAGAAAACTACAATTCTATATCAATTAATACTAGTAGTTAGTATCAAATATAACAAAGAAGAAAGTAACAAAAATGTAACAAAAAACCAGAAAATTAAGTTTGCAATATATCAAGGCAATACTTCTACTTATTCTCACACTTCTTACAATACAACTGCAAATGACGTAAATTATTAATTGGTTTTTGCTGAAACTTCCAAAAATGTCAGCAAAACTAATTTCTGAATGATTGCAATTAATTAGAAATAATTTATCGAAAACTTAAGTTACTAATGAAAAGCAGTGTTTTTTAACAACGATTATTATGCAGTAGACAATATTATTCGTTGCAGCAACGAAGAAAGCGACTGCAATCTTTAAAGTCAGTATTATTATCGATGGATGAGAGTGAAAATTCGCTAACTTTACAGCACAACAATTTAACTTTCTCCGTGATGTCACATGCAGTTTAGTCGGCAGAGAGGGAAGCTGTCGAGGCATTACTTACTTTCATACTTTATTACTTACTGACTTACTTATTCACTTCATTGTTCTTGACTAACTTATTTACTCACTTGCCTGCTTACTAACATCTGTTGCCTTCTTCCGTAAGCTTTTTTTATTGCCTACTTACTGTTTTATATATATACAAATTTTATACTCAAACAATTAGTATTACCAAATAAAACATGTTCAGTATCTAATAGCTAACATTACTATCATTATTCAACATTAAAAATATGCTATTGGCACTTGGCAAAATAATTTTAATTCAAATAAATATTTTAGCAGTGTAGTTATTCAATTAGTAAGTTACTACTATGTCAACAATAATGATAATTATTATTATAAATAATTACCAAGTATCATTATCAGTACCACGCAAAGTTGGAAAGAAACACAGTCAAAAATAATAAAATGTACATAAAATAGTTACAAGATGAAACTATCCCATGCAAAAAAACTTTGTGTTTAATAATCACAATTGAAATATAAATAAGTGATAGCACAAGTAAGTGATATTATCACTTATTTTACGTAAGTAAGTTTACAAATAATCGAATACTAAAGCAAAACAATGTATTGAATTAATCTATTCTATTCTATCCGACGCATATATTCATTGCATTCACCAAAATTAAATGTGTAATAAGACAAACAAGACTGCGGATGAAATACTCCTTGTTTATCTGCTATTGCTTATTACATAAATTTCCGTTTTTTAACAAACACTTTTTTGATTTTGATAAACTGAATACCACTAAATTTTTGTTTAAAACTATTGATTAAGTCGCAAATTCAAAAAAATAATTATATGTTTGCTAAAAGTAGCCAAATAGCCAACTATGCTTAGCAAATCACTGATCAGTGCTTATTGTTATTATTTGCTAATGAGATTGTTGTTGTTCATCGCTGTTTGCACACACACAACGATATTAGTATACATCACAAACACACACATATACACACATATGTACGGACACATAATTAACGAGAAAAATATGTAAAAACGCAATAGATAAACAAATTCGCAGAAGTAGACCAAAGGTTTTCCTACATAAACACACACTCAAACACATGTGATTACTGCACATAAAGTCTGATAGACACGTACGCATACACGCGTACGTAAATATCGTTAATTAAGATTTCTAAAAAACTTGATGACCTCATTGAACTTCAGCTGTTAAAAAAGTCTACAAAAAGTATAGTTTTTTCAAAAATAAAATTGATCGCTAAAGTGAGCATTTCAGCAAGCATTCATTTGATCTGAAACGATCACCAGCATTAACTTGCAAGAAAGAAGTAAAACTTAATGCAAATAAAAATTAATGATGCAGAGATTTTATCCCAACATGTCTTTGAAATCCAATAATTTTGAAAATAAAAAATACTACAAATTTAAAAAATGTAATAAAAACCTTTAAGAATACCATGCAGTATAAAATTAGAAAAGAATGCATAATACCACAAAATATGAATTATTTCAAAAAATTAATCTGCTATTACTGTTAAAAATGATTCGCATTACAATGACAATTTTTGCTTGCTTGAAAATTTTATGCAAGCAACTTGTCAACAGTAACTAATTTGATTTAGAAGAAGAACAAATTTAGACTGATTTGATTACTACTGGATGCTTTTTGAGAATTTTTCAACAATAATTTGATTTCCAAAGTCGAATTTATTCTTACGATGTTATTACTACGCAATAGGAGCAGATGTGTTAGCTTTTATTAATTGCAGCACAAATATTGACACTATTTATCCCAACTGTATACAAATTTTACAATAATTTTTTTCTGTTTTATTGGCAATAAGAATGGACAATTTTTCTTGTATTATAAATTCAGTATAGTACAAGCCAAATAATTAAAATATATCAAAAATTATTTCCTCTCAAATTAATTCACAGGGAAAGAATTATTTTAATCTCACTTTTTGCATAAATTAAAATCAAAATAAAATTATTAATCCACCTCATTACGACTACAATTTTTCAATTTGCGACTTTTTGTACGTAACTACAAAATTGTCTTGCTGACAAATAGTTATTTAGTCATGTATTTTAGTATTCATAGCAATAAATTAATTTCCTGCCTTAAAAAGGTCGTTAGTTTTTAACTTCAAAACATTTCTTCATTATATGTTAGCGAAAAACAAAAAAAAAAGTTAAATTCAAAAAATAAAAATTAATCATAAATATCTGTAGATAAACATGAGAAAAACTTATAATTACTTTAGAAAATT